CCTTGCAGAATGTGCATGCAGGAGTGTTCATTGTTGGTACTGTATAGGGGAATCCTTTTCTGGTCAGGTTGGCCTTCCCGGCCCTGATGTTTGTGGCAAATCTCATGTGCTTTTGAATTCCTTTTGCTAACCGCAGGACTGCAGTTTTGAGCTGTTAGTTTGGGGCTGCAGGACATGGACCGGCACAAAGGAGGTGTCGGAGGTGCCCATGTGGGCAGTGTTGCACAACTCGAGGTGGGTGGAACATGCCTGCCATCGTCCACTTGATTTTATGTTGACAAGCTGACCAGTTGAGAGCAGAGTGTCCTCGCTTGTTCCCAGGCTGGGATTCGTTCCCCTCAACAGAACTGCTTATGCATAAATCTGTTACAAGCTCGGACGCCCACACGTGCTGCCCGCATGTTATCCTCTGGTTTTCCCAGCGTTGTGGCTTCAGGTGGTCGTGCGGACTACCCACATGATTTCGCAAGGCCTTGAGAGCCCGTTGATTATTGACGAGTTTGAAGATGAGTTGAACATGTTAGTGGCAATGAAATCGCCCTGAAATCGCGTGGATTGGATTTGTATAATCAAGTCACGCGCAGCAATCAGTGAATGAAATAGTATACCAATCAGTGCATGAACTCCTGCACCGATTAGTAGCTTATTTCACGAAGTGATTGTTCTGTCAATCTGTGCTTGAATCGGTCGCCAGTTGGTGCGCCCAACTGGTGCTCTGATTGCACCGTTGCAATGAAACGTTTTTCTTTTCTTCTCCTGTTATCGTTTTTTGCATCCGCACTGGTTTGTCAAACGAGCGCGCAGGAACAAGCGACCAGGATAGCATGGGCGACGTGGTGTTGACGCTGGGGGGCCCACGGCCGAATCACAAGGCGGGGCAGCCCAGGCGCTGGCTGTCGGCGCCCTGGCCGCCCTGCGATAGACCGGAGATTGACCCCTGCTTGACCGGTTTCGCTTTCGTAAACCAACGCCAAAGGGTGCCGAAATGGCCAGCCTTGGGTGGCCATTTCGCGCCTCTTTGGCGTTGGTTGCGTTGGCCAAAATTGGCGAATTGAGGCACAACCTGCAACGAGGGAGTGGGGCGGCGATTGGCCTCCCGCTCCCGTCACTTTGTGGCGAGGCGTTTGGCACTTTCTCCCACGTCTTGCGATCTCCAACTTTCCGCTGACATCTGGCGTTGGCCTTGCGACCTGCGGGTGCCAATCTATGCGTCCGCGGGTTCCACAATCGGTGGCAGCGATCGGCCTCCCACTCCCATCGCTGTGCGGCGACGTGTTTGCAATTCTCGCCCGCGGCTTGAGTGTCGGGTGTTGTCCCATTGACCCATGATATCTGGCCTGGAAGCCGCCGATTGTTACCATCCGCGGGTGCCCATCAAAGCATCAGTGGATGGCCACGATTTGTCGCCACGAGAGGCAAAAGCAGTGGGATCATAAGCGCCGAACAGCCTCCTACTCCCGCAACTTGTCACCTAATGCTTGTTGTGTTGGATACCCAGCACCGGCCACAAGGCGGCGCCCCGATCGCAATTGATTGAGGGCTGGTCCTGGCAGTGCACCACGCACCACGCTGCGCCGGCAAGCTCGCCCCGCAGTTGCGTGGGACACGCTGTTCCTTGTGAGTTCAGCCCGCACTTGAAGTGCCTTCAGTGCGTTGAAGCCTAGTTTGTCATTGGTTGTGGGCTTTCACCTTGACTTGGCTGCCTTCGCGACCTCAGGTTGCCTGGCTCCCGTCCCACCGCCCGCTTTGCTATGCACGCTGGCAAACCTCGCGGGGCGCCAAGAGCAAGAGACGCCAATCGCCTGCGTCGAAAGTTATCCTTGGTTGAAGGGGCCCGTGGCCGGCGTCACGGGAAATGGCGCGGACCCCAAGGGACGAACTTGAAGGCCAACGTGGCAGTGTACTTGTCGATGCCCAACGCGTTCCCTCTCTGCTTTGGCCTGTACTTTGTATAGTCCTAACTTCATTGACGTGGGATTATTTTAAATACCGCCAGGGTAAACAATGAATATGTCTTCTTTGCCAGATGCAGCTTCAGGTGTCCATGTCCACAAATAAGCACGTACTCTGCAGTGTCATTGTACTCTCGCTGTACAGCAGTGCCAGGTGTAGCCACTCATAGTGTTGGCACAGTACTCGGTGCCCTCTGCTAAAGTCACTCTGAACACTCCACTTACCCCAAGAAGAAGACTCACACTCCTGCAGAAACACCCCATTGCAGTATGCTTATGTTCAGGCATCCATCTGCTTGATCCAAGACTGACACCTGCCTGTGGTCTGGTCTGAGCCAGTAGGATGCCCGGAGGCCTGGCCAATGTCCAGAAAACAGCTCATTCATCGCTGGGTGCGTTTGAGAACGAGGCGAGCACCGAATTCAAGGACCAGACATCGTCAGAGCAGGTTGCTTTGACTGAGATGGTCTGCAGCATGGAAGTGGTGTAGGCACAGCTGCAGGAGGTTGTAGTTGAGCAGGATGGGATGGTCATGCATACATACAGACCAGAGGTGTTGCAGGGGCACCATGTCCACAGATTGTTGCAGGTAGGGCAGGTTCGGCCGACTATTCAACTGTACTTTGAGTATTGGCCAGATGACGGTTGAGCACTTTCTTTGGTGCTATTTGTTCAGGCTCACAGTGCCCTTTGGGCAACACCTGCTTGCTCATTTTGCATTATTGTGGCTGTTGCCAAGGGACTTCGAATGTGGCCCTCTTGGGTCGGTGAATCCTGTGGGGAAAGATGCTTGTTGCGAAAAGGGTCTTGATCCTTGATGCCCTGCTCTGAGATGTTGCTGTGCACAAGGACATGTTGTGGCAGTGCATGGGGAGCCATGCACACTGTGTTGCTGTGTTCACCAGACTGTAGTGCTTGGGGTCAAGGGATGCTTGGAACTTGGCACAGTGGATTGGCTGAAGTTAATCTCACAAAGAGCGTGGTGCAGCACGTTGGTCATGTGATGCAGCCATGCATTCAAACACAATTATCCTGAACTGTGTGCTACAAAGACAAAGAGTACGAGTGGGCTACCTTTTGCAGTTGAGGGCATATGTCACACTGCCACTTCACCCAACTATCCAATGGCCTGTGTCAACTGGACCCAAATTACCCTTGATGGCAATGCTGCATACATTTGTGGGCCCTCAGTATGCTAATTCGGGACCATCGACTGGTTGGACAACTGAAATCCTGCTGGCAACGAAGAGCCCAGCAGGTCAGCAGCAAATGGCTAGTGCTGTTGATTTGTATCAGCATGCCTGCATACCCACCCATTGTGTCTGTTCTCTAGAAAGGGAATGTTGCATGAGTGGCCATCAATTGCCAAAGCTGATGGTGTGAGGCAACTGTTGAGCTAGATATCCTCTGTTTGTCAGCATCAGCAGACTCTGCACTGCCAGACAAATGTCTGTGGGGTGAGTTTCTTGCAGGAAATTTCCAGTACATGTAGGATGGTCGATGTTTCATGCATCACCCTTCAATTCCACTTTGATTCACCCTGGCCAATGTGTGTCAATTGTCAGTCTTTGAGCATAGCCCTGTGAAGAGAGGTGTTTTGGGACGATGTTCTACACTGTGCAGCTGATACGGTGTTTTGTGTGGCAGGAACAGCTCACAGTTCAATGCTGTTCATTTGAGATGCAGGTGGGTGGTGTGTGTTGGTGTGATGGGTGATCGAGCTAGACGATTATGATGTCCTGTTCATGCAGCACAACAGTTGCATTCTGATCGTATCATGTGTGCAGTGTGTTCCTTGTTGTTCATGCATGTCTTTGCTTCTGCCAATGTGGCCAGTGCCACTGACATTTGTGAGTCGCAAACTTTTGTGGCATGAGTGCACAAGTACTTATCACGGCAGCGAAGCTGTATTTTGCTGTGCAAGTATGAGGGTCATACCTGATGCTTTAGATGTCTTCTTTGAACCAACCCACCGTTTTTAACGAGCTGCCACAGGTGTTCCATCGATGTTGTGTGCCATGTCTACAATATCGTTTTTGGTTTCCAAAATGTTGAACAACATTGCCACAATGCAGTGCTCTGCACACTTCATGGGTCGTCAACATTGCAAGTGATGCAAGCACAGTAAGCAATGCTGTGAAGGGCACAGCACAGCTGCATTGGCATTTTGTCCACAATGCCAATGTCAACGCAAAAGGACATACTCAAGTGGTTGTGCTTGTTGTGTGCAAAGGAGCAAGGGAAGCAAATGAGGTTTGGACACATGTCACACGCTGTGCAGCTTGGAGAGGGAAGATGGCCGCACAACAGCAGTGCATGGCAACAGTCATGGAGGCTGACGAATTATCAGTTTTGCCGCTGACTCATATGGTGACAAATTTCAGGTGAGGCCATGCTGAGGCGAGCACGGTTGCTCATTTTGCATCGGCCTTGAGACCCACCCTACATATGTAGCTGTACTTGGCGTCTGAATAGCATCAGTATTCACCAACAGTAACACCAGGAGTTTACAGCACACACACACACACACACACACACACACACACACACACACACACGCGCGCGCGCAATAGCCAAGTGTTGATGTGGAATTCCATCGATTGCACACTTGCCACCACAAGACAAGACAGGCCCTTTTCGCCAAGCTGGCGATGTTGGACAGTAAATGCAAACACAGTGCAATGCTCCCAACTTGTACTAAAGAAATCAGCATCCCAGCGAACCAGGAACCGAAGGAAAATTAGAAAACAAGGAAAGTGACGAGCACCAAAAGAGGTGACCAGGACAGCTAGGATGGTAGTCCATCAAGCAAAGATAGGAGGCAGGAAAGAAAGGGAGTCCGTCACCATCACAAAAAACCCAAAAACCACTGGACTCAGGCACCATCAACCATCTAGACGCACCAAGAAGAATGGAAAAAACTATGTTTTGAACACGGAGTTCATGTCAGGGAGAAGTAGTCATACTTGGGAGGCAACCTTGGCTCTGCATCCTCCCCTCCCACTCCGTGACCAAGTTCTGTTTCAATGAGCGTTTCCAGAAAATAGCTCAATACAGCCACCTTGGTTCCGACGATTCACTGTCAGATGGAACCAGCAGAACATTCCCCCACCCCATATCATTGTCCCACCCTATATCACTAGGGGTCTCAGGAGGACTCGGAGTCCAGGTCAAGGCGTAGTAGTCCTCAGTATCAAGCGACCAAGGCAGGGCATCCCTTTCCTCCACCCCACACATGTGGTTGCCAGATGCCCTCGGAACAGCAGTCTTATCGTCCACTTCTTGCACAAGCTTTTGTGCAATGTTAGGTTGCAAATTCAAACTTCTGGGGGGCATTGGCTGTCTCCACTGTGGCTCTGGGCTGTCCATCGCCTCACGAAAAATGTCCACCAATGTGTACCCTACAAAGCAGACTTCAATCTTTGATTGTGTCGATGTTTGTCTTGCGCCGTTTTGCACTGCGTTTTGCACCTGGCACCCGTGTCTCCCTTGGGGGCGGGGCATCTGTGAAACATAACACAAATAGTGGAGGGAGTCACTACACTCACAACTATCGCACCATGGCTGCAGCAGTGGTTAAATTATTATGTGCACTAGCAGAACTACCTTTCCTCAGTGCCTCGCCTCGCTCATTATCCACCAAGGCAGCATCATCGACATTTTCGCGTGCCCTTGTCTTCCGCGGGGGTGGGCCATCTGTGAACAAGAACACAAATGATGGAGAGAGTTATTACACTCACAACTAGCACACCTTGGCAGCAGCTGTGGTTCAACTGTGCACTGGCAGAATTACCTTTCCTCAATGCCTCGCCTTGCTGGCTATCCGGCAAGGCAGCATCATCAACATTTTCGGGCACCCGTTTCTCCCCTGGGGTGGGTTCAGCTGTGGACAAGAACACAAATTGTGGAGAGTCACTACGCTCATAACTAGCAGAATATGGCAGCAGCTGCGGTGAGATTGTGCTCTAGCAGAATTACCTTTCCTCGTTGTCTCACCTTGCTTGTTGCTTGCCTTGGCAGCATCATCGAGATTTGTGGCCTCCACGCTACCATTTGTCGGTCCTTGGGGTGGGGGTGGGCCGTATGGCGAGTACCCTTTGCCAGCGTGGCTGCACATCGTGCAACAATGTCACTTGTATTATGCAGTTGAATAACAACACACACGGGGTCACAGTGGATCAAGCAGTATGGAAGCAATAAGCTATACAACCGAAAATGGAACCAGGTACAAGGCTCGTATTGCACCAAGTGGCCGCAATTTGGTGAGGTTTGCAAAGCGCAATTGTTGATAGTTAATGCTGTTGCAAGACAGCCATAAAAAAAGTGCAAATGAGCCATTGTCTAGCTCTGAGTGTAGTGCACTATGTAGATAGTTGCCAAAATTCACCACAGGCGTTGTCATACCTTATTGCAGCATCCCGCAACTGATCGGGAAGGCAATGGTAAACAGCATGCCACAAGTTGATGCCACCGTTCTTTACGACCTTGGGGTCGATTTGCCTGACTTTCCTCACGATGTCTTTCCAGTGTTCAACGCCAGTGTTGACACCATCATTCTCATATGGCCTTGCGCCATGAATCAACCTGCTTTTGAGCTTGGTGTTGGCGGACCAGATGTACTGGAGGAACTGAGCAAAGAAGCAACACTCATACTAAGACTTGAGAGTCACTGCCATGATGAAAGTCACTGCCGTGGACACGGTGATTCCAACTGAGTGTGCAATATCGCCTTAGGTTTTGTATGTCCGCAAATGGTGCGACACTCTGGCCTTTTGTGCAGAACAAGAACAAGACTTCACAGATTTGACGATCCTCCGGAGAAAGGCGGAAGTGGAAACCCTTGTATCCGAAAATGCGCTAAGATCTGTGTTCAACATACCTCCTTTCTGGAGTTGAGCAGCGTGCCATCTGGTGCTCTGTTGCGTGGGTGGTAGCACAGAAAAGTAATCGCGGCATTGATCAATGCCAGCTGTGCCACATCTTCAGGAGGTATGTTGTGCATGTCTTTTGCTTGTTCATTCTTTTCAAGCCAAGAATCGTGTTGCAGGGGTACCCATCCCTCCGCAAGACAGCTCTCTGTGTTCCGGATCAATGGCCAACAAGATTTCTGGACGACCTGGACAAAAGGCATCATCTGTGGGGCGATGGCATCTGCACACACAGGATGACCACATGAGGTGAGGATGGGAAATGAAAAGTACCCGAATCAAAGACCAAGGAACTGACACAGCTGCTGCAAGCAAAGCTGTCACTTGATGCATAACAGGACAAGCACAAACACAAGCATACCCATCCAGCAGCATTTGCTGCAAATATTTGTACTTGGTAAATTCTGCATCTCCACATGCATTTTACCATATTCAACACCATTCTCTGTGTGTTCAACCACACATATTCAGTGCCAGTTTGGGGGCAGCTGCTTGTGTATGTTCCTCTCCTCACAGTAATAATCAACAAGGTATGCAAATGAAGCAAATTGGACAATTGGTGAAACATGCCTGCCACGCTGCGCCGTGTCCCTTGTTGCTTCGTTGATGATGAGGCCTGTGGTTGTGTGATGGGCAGGTTGACAAGTGCCTTCGCTTGTTCCACGTTGGAGCACATGACCTGCACATGGCTGCGCATCGTCTTGGAGGGAGATGTGAATATGGCGGTGGGTGCCTCTCGGCCCTCTTTCAAAACAGAAATCAGGCTTTTGAAGGTGGGCAGTTGCAGTGCATAGAACGTCTTGGCACCGCCAGCTGTCTCCTGCCAAGTGCACATTCCATGTATTGTCAATTTGTGACAAGTGTCATTTGCATCAGCTTGCAGTGCATTTTTGGCATCTGTAAGATCTGGTTGGCGATCGTTTTTAGGCAGGATACTCACTTGTGTTGCAGCTATGATGCAGAACTGCATGGCCTCCACTGCGTGTGGAAGCCTTTCAACGTCCTTGGCCCCCAAGAAATCCTTCCAGGAGCAGGCAACATCCTGCACAGCTGCGGGAGCATGGGAGGCAAAGAAGAACATGGTGAGATTGGTGAAGTTTGCGCCCAGAATTGTGAAATGTGTGTGTGTCTGTGTGCCTTGAATACTCACTGAAGATCTTTGTGAACATGGATGTGAAGGATGCAGTTGCTGTTTTGGCCAACAGATCTGCCAGCTTGTCAGCGCACATGGCCCCTCGCGCCCCATCGTTCCCTTCTCTCTGCAGCGTTAAGCCTCCAGTCTCGATGTCAGCAGGGTCGAAAAACCCCGGGACCCTCAAGGTGTCCAGGATATACCAGTGGATCACCAAGGGGTCCACGGGGTTTTCACAGTCATCGACGACAACGCAGCTGGAGGCGTCCATTCTGGGCACCTACAGTTGACAGATGTTGGTGCAAGTGAGTTTGGAGAAGAGCAATGTGTGGCAATCTAGAATTGTCACGTTTGTAGCATTGGGATCGCAGCAGTTTTGCCTATCAGCTCTGAGTTCATTTGCTGATCTCATGTTGTGCGATAGCATGCGTGCCATGTGGCTGGTAGGACATCAGAGTGAATGAATTCTCATATTGCATGTCGATACCAGCCAAGAATTTAAAGTGTTGTCATGCATGGAACAGGTACACATGCAGCACTTGCAAGAAGCTATGTGACTGCATCACCTATATTTAACAAGTCTTGAGGACTGAGGTCATCTGCTGATCCCATGTTCTGCGATAGGATGCTTGCCATGTGGTTGGCAGGACAGCAAGGTGAGTGAAAACCATTCTCTTGTTGCATATCGATCTCAGCCAGGAATTGAAAGTGATGGCATGCACTGATGTTGGACCCAGTAACAAGTGGAAGGGGCTTAGATGCATGCTTTGCAGTTGTCGATCCAGGGTGTTCGACGAAGATCAAGGCACATTTTAGTGTAGCACCGACACAAATCCCCGTGGACTTGTAGTACATCAGAACACGTCTTGAACCCCAGGTGGCTGCTAAACCCAAGTTGCTCGGCCCAGTACTTTACAATGTCCTTTGAGTGCTTCTGCAGCGACTGTGAAATATCCATGGTGGGCGATGCATCTCACCTGGCAGGCTACCAGTGAGCGTCTCCCTCTTCACTGGCAACGAGTGCGGCCCCGCCCTTTTGCTGCAACGAGTGCGGCCCCGCCCTTTTGCCTCACCAAGCTGGAGGCATGCTTTCAAGCGCATGAATGTTGCACAATTATATCATTTAAGTGCGATAATTACTCGATGACTAGTTAACGTTCGTGTGCCATGCCAGCATCCGAACGGATCTCAGAAGTGGGCCGCAGGGCGCCCAGCCTGTCGAGATGTCGTCCGCCACCGATGGCAAGGTCCAGAACTCGGCCGACGTCAACGATATCGCGTCTGCGCCTTAGCACCATCGGCGTCGTCCCACGGTGGGCTTTGGCCCCATCGACACCGTCGACTGCCGGGAGCCGTGAACAGGTGATCTTTTCATGGGTGGCGTGGGGAATTGGTTGTAGGTGTCATTTTGGCCGATCTTGACGGACACCGCTCTGTTGTGCAGGCGTTCGCAGGCGTGAAGTTCGCAACATTCTTGGGTCGAGATCTCCGTCGACTGGCCCAGACCTACGCCCCTTTGGTGTGCAAGTGGAACTGGGGGCAGTGCTGCTGGCGCACCGAACGGGCGAGTGCAGTCTCTGACGCCCATCATCGACTGTGATGTGCAGCCATCGCCCGCCGCAACGGACAGTGAGGGCCAGGCTGCGGCAGAGGGATGGACGTACAGACGTATGAAATAGCTGTAGGTCTGATGCTGGGTTAGACACGCTCATGCACAGTTGGAGCGTAGGGCGTTGGAGTGTTGCGGAGGCGTGGGAGCTGGTGGGCAAGCTGCACAGCGCACCCACGCCGATGGTGCACAACGATGGCGGACAACCTGATCGACACGAAGCCCAGAAGGTGGTGCTGGGGGAAGTCGACGAACGGGACGACTTTGACATTTTCCTGGTGGGCAGCTGAGCGAAGACAGAGGATTGCTGAGGTGAGAGCGAGCGGCGCATTGAAGGGGTTGGGTCGCAGGTCAAATAGGTGTGGGTGGCCAGGCTGTTCATGCACATCAAGCTCGTGCAGGATGTGTACAATGCAGAAGACTTGGGTCTGACAGACCTGGTGACACAGCTGAGAGGCCCTATGGAAATGGACCCTAGCGATCTGGAGGACCAACAGTAGATGTGCAACTTCTTTGTGTTCCATTTTGTTATATTGCATCGTATTGCTTGCCTGCCTCTCCTGTGTGAAGTCGATTCCCTAAAAACATACGACTACACAACTCCTTGCGGTGGAGAAGTTTTGACAGTCGCGATCTGCCCTTTACTGCATCTTGCTCCCAGGGTGTTGATTCAAGTCTGGGAATGTGAAGATTGTGTCTGAACAAACTGTGCTGGGGTTACGCCTGTCACCAATATGCTGTTATGAGGGGCAGTTCTTGGCATGTTGCACAGATGTTGTCCACCGGAGATTGAAGCAGCTGCAGAGACTTGTTTGTTGGGTGGCTTCCTTTGGCCCCCTTGAATGCAGAAAGGTATGTGGAAAGGAAATCTGTGGCAAAAGTGATGTTGACTTGTGTTGTTATTTGATGATATTGGTAGTGCTATTCTCTGCAGCGCCAATTTCATGGGTACGTGCCGTGTAAATCTGCACAGGTTGTGCGAGCGCCTTGCAAATAAGGTTGGACGGAAGTGGACACGTTGGTTACCAATGCTATTATTCTCTTGTGCTTAGGCTAACATTGTCTCATTGACCACAAATGACATTAATCCTTGTAGATCGGAAGAAATGTTTGTGGATTGATCCGATGACTATCCTCAAATATGTGGCATGACAAAGTTGGGCACCTGTTCATTCCGTTTGCAAGCTGTTGAGATAGCCTTCTTGCCAATGCATGGCGACTGTAAACTCCAACAACAGTTGGATTGTGACATTGCGGCATTGCTGTTTGGAATGTCGCCCATCTTTTGTCTGCATCTCCCAGTGTACGTGATTGCAGGCCAGATTGTCTGGCTGGCACACAACGTGCAGCCTGTTTGCCTCCCTTGCTGCTCTGACTGTACTGTAGTCCACAGAGCTGCCAGGTGTTCAGTTGTGCTTTATGGGTTGCTGAAGCTGTCAAAGTTTGCAGCTGCTGAACATAGTTTGGGAACCGCCTGGGCAGGGCAATGAAGCTGACGTGAAGTTGTTGTGGCTTTTGTGATGCAGATATAGCCTATGGCTCGCTTTCAGTCTACCATTGGTGTTGTTCCATGCATGAAACCTGTAGAAAGGACACAAGAAGTTGTTTGAGGAGAACATCTGGATAGCCCCAGCTGGGCCCTGGCAGGTCTGCAGTGCACTCAGTTGTGAGTGTTGCTGTCAGGCCATCACAGCTGATTAGGCAATGATGTGTAGACAAAGCGAATGAGAATGGCCAATGTGTGTGGCATATGGCATGAGTGTAATACCATGATTTCTGGGCCAAGAATTTGCACTGGACTCGTGCCCAAGCAGTTTCTAGTTTGAGCTTGTTCATAGTGCTGCAATGCCGCAGGCAGCATCGCAAGTATCTTCACAGGAGTGTCACATCCATCACGGAGGCATCGCAGGCAACATCACGGTGGCCATCGCGGATGCCATCGCAGGCAGCATCACACAGCCATCACGGGTGGCATCGCAGGCAGCATCGCACAGCCATCGCGGGTGGCGTCGCAGGCAGCATCGCACAACCATCGCGGGTGGCATCACACAGCCATCACGGGTGGCATCGCGGGCAGCATCGCACAGCCATCGCGGGTGGCATTGCAGGCAGCATCACACAGCCATCGCGGGTGGCATCACACAGCCATCACGGGTGGCATCGTAGGCAGCATCGCACAGCCATCGCGGGTGGCATCGCACAGCCATCACAGGTGGCATCGCACAGCCATCGCGGGTGGCATCGCACAGCCATCACAGGTGGCATCGCACAGCCATCGCGGGTGGCATCGCAGGCAGCATCACACAGCCATCGCGGGTGGCATCACACAGCCATCACGGGTGGCATCGCGGGCAGCATTGCACAGCCATCGCGGGTGGCATCGCAGGCAGCATCACATCGCGGGTGGCATCACACAGCCATCACGGGTGGCATCGCAGGCAGCATCGCACAGCCATCGCGGGTGGCATCGCACAGCCATCACAGGTGGCATCGCACAGCCATCGCGGGTGGCATCGCACAGCCGTCGCGGGTGGCATCACAAGCGACATCGCAGAATGTACTGTCACCATCGCAGACGGCATCACAAACCATCACAAGCGACGTCGCAGAAATCGCTGTGGCCATCACGGATGGCATCACAAGCCATCACAAGCGACGTCGCATAAATCGCCGTGGCCATCGCAGATGGCATCACAAGCCATCACAAGCGACGTCGCAGAAACCACCGTGACCATCGCGGATGGCATCACAAGCGACGTCGCAGAAAACATGTTGTAGCCATCGCGGATGCCACCGCATACGCCATCACATCAAAACGGAGGTGGCATCGCGGATGGCATCAATTTGTGTCAAAAAAGCATCACACTTACCATCGCAACGCGGCGCCAACTGCGATGGCAGGATGGCAATCGCGATGCCAGTGGGATGCATCGCGCAAGGGGCGTTTTCTACTAGTGTAGGCGCCCTGGAAGGGGCAGAAAACAAATTTTTGTTAAGCGCCATCGTCGCCCTTGCCAAGGCCGAGGCGGACATTGTGCTGTGGGTGCTGGAATTGGCGGATGACTGACCATTGAACGCAAACTTTCATCGTATAGCCTGGGTGTCCCAGGGAGCCGTAAAAACGTAAAAACAGCCGTAAAAATAGGCCCTTTTGGCAAATTTACGTTTTTACCCGTAAAAACGTAAACGTAAAAACATAAACGTAAACGTAAAAACCAAGCCTGGCCATAAGCCTAGCAACTGGAGCTTCCCGTTGACTTTGCCAGCCCTGTCTTTCCATGCAAGGTTTGTGTACTTTGCGACCGTGGCAAGGTCGCCTGGTCTTCGCTCAGTTTTCAGCACGAACAGGACGCTTGTGTTATGCATGTTCGTTCTGATAACGACACGCATTAATTTGACAGCTCTCGTCATTGCTTGTGCATGTACAGCCGTGGTACGTCCACAGGCAAGTGTGATCAGAGCGCAATCCAGCCTTGCCATCCACAGGTGGCATGGTGCCGGAGTTCGCCTTTGATGGCTGCGACAACGTCAAGCTTACAATAGCAAGAAGCCTCCGGCGCCACTTGGTGTTACACCCATAATATAGTAGAACGATTGTTCGAAGTGAACAAGGCGCCCCATCCGCTCAGCTGCCTCGACGCACCCTTTTCCGGAATGCTGTGTTCTTGGTTTCGCCATTCTCCCTTCTGGGGATTTTTTTCAATTCACTTCAAAACAAAGTTTCAGACTCTCCGTGCTATCTTTGGTGGGCTGCAGTGTACAATTTTCCACCCCCGTCTTCTGAATTTTATGCGGCACTGGCTTTTTATTGGCTAAGCAAACAATCAAGTTAAAGTGGCGCGTTTATCAAGATTGCGGCTTTTATGAGCTCTTCACGAGCTTAAGAACTTGCACGTTGCGTAAAGGAGGTTTTAGTCAGAATTCTCTGTGTTTGAATGCAACTCTTGAACTTCTGTGGAACAAAAATTTCAGATGTCCATCCCCCGGGGGTTTAAGAGGGATTCCATCAAGGACGAGCACGTGTTTGGCGTATCCTACCGCTTACTCTCGCAAGGAAATACAGAGGCGGTTATCGTTTTCATTTTCTCAAAATCCAATTTTGCCAAGGTTTCTTTCAACATCGCTTCCCAAACAAGGCCATTTTGCCGCCCAAATTTCCCATCTGCCCCAATCAGCGCTCGCTATCATCATCATCATCATCATCATCATCATCATCATCATCATCATCATCATCATCATCATCATCATCATCATCATCATGTTTTTTTCCAGAACAAGGCAATGAGGCAGCTGTCAGCTTCCTATTTTGCGTGAGCGCTCGCTATCACAATGGGCTGCAGGGCAGGTTTAGGTGGCGGGCTCCTCACTCCAACAACACTCTGGCTCCTCCGTCACCTTCAACACCGCACGCGGCCCAGTGGGGACTCGCCTGCCCGGCTGTCGTGGGCGGGCCTGGAACCTCCTGACCGCACTGCCAGTCGTGCCTTCTCCACTGTGCGGAGCGCGTGATCTCACTGGGGAATCTGCCCCCTGCTCCCCGTGGCTCTCGCCTTGGGCTAATAGCGTGGAACGAGACAGCTGGGGCGGTCTGAAGCGATCGAGGGGTGCGGGGGGCGCATCTCTTCATCTGTTTCGCAACCGGCAAGATCGGTGGATTGGGTTGGTGGGGGGTGTGGAATGCGCACGGCCGTCCTGCCTCTGTACTGCCTGGCGTCGTGTTCGCCTGCGAGTTGTGTGGCGCAAAGAGGGCCATGAGGTTGGCAGGGGCCGGTGGTGAACAGTGCAGGCTGGGATGGAGAGGTTAGGCTCTGGGGGCCTGGTCCCGCTGGCCGACCTGCTACTCAGTAGCGCGGAACACTCGGCTCGCGCGCAAGTGGATTGATTGTATTCTTGCTTCCGGCAGCCCCCTCTGCGGGTGTGGGTGTTGGCTTGATTGATGCGTTCGCCGCACGTTGTGGGCGTCTCTGTTCGGCGTCGGGTCGCGCGTGGGTGCAGCCGCCCATCGACGAGCCCAGTTTTATTCCCTCGCTTCCACTGCCGTGCGATGTTCAGGTGGCAGGGCGCATACAGAGGGGAGAGCCGCATGGCTGATGCGCCGGAAGGCGAGGGCTGGGCCAGCATTGCAGAGGCTCCCAAGGATCTGCCAGATGCCGATTCCATGATGCACACTGGGGGTTGCGAGAGCACTGCTGGGGACTCCACAAAGAGGCCGATGGTGGGTCGTCCGAGCCAGGACTCTGCACAGGATACACATGCAGCAGCGGGCTCGTCAGGTGTCACAATTGCCAGCACATCACCCAGTCCCCACATGGTCAGTGATCATGGCATGAGCACCTCGTACGTTGTGCCTGTGCAGATGACTGGGTTTCCTGCGAATGCTGAAGGTGCTGAGGCATCAAGTTCAGCAGCACCCACAGCTCTCAGCTGTGAGGGAACAATGACTGAAGGCACTGCAGGGGCGAGTGGGCAACAGAAACCTGCAGGTTTGCCAGGGAATAGGGGTGGGGAAGTGAAACAAAGGACAGACAGTGGGCACGAGACAGCCAGGGGCAAGCTGGAAACGAACATGGTAGCTGATGCTGGGCAGGTACACTCACATGCTCAAGAGCCTGGAAGGCATGGCTGGGGGCGCACATCTCCGTTTGAGGTGGAAGCTGCCCAGCTATCTGCCTCCCCAGGGGACAGCGAAAGGATTGGTGCTGATGCCACAGCTGATCACAGCAGGTTGGCAGGTTTTGAGGGCCGAACTTCATCAGTGGATATTGCTTGCCCACAAACTGGCAAGGGCGATGTTGTGGCAACAAGTGCTGCGGGTGCTGGGGAGGGAGTGTTGGAAAGGGAAACGGCATCTGCACTTGAGCCCCGTATTAGTGCCGTGTCACGTGCATCCTCAATCTCAGACATCAACGCAGTGGACCTCGTGGCACTCGCTGACGAGGTGAGACGTCTTGAGCAGGAGTTGAGAGCAGTGCAAGAGAACTATGCACAGTGCAGCGATCAACTTCAGGAAGCCGAAAGCCAAGTGGAGGACCTGCAGGTACATGGCTGTCGACTGTTTCCAACATGTCATCCACAGAGCACCATCTGCTGAACACTGCATTTGACACACTAGTTTCCACCAACTCATTTCATGAATTGCTTCTGAGCTCTGGTTGGAGGCGTCCACTGACTGCACTACCAGGCACTGTATGAGTTACCTTCTCATCTCCCGTTCGAGGGCAACGACTGCTGAAATGGTGCCTGAATGGCAGGGAAGAACCTTTGGAACTAGAGTAAATTGGCAGCAGTATTGCTTTGTAGTTCCAACAACTATTGTACCACTGTACAGTCCTGCTGTTTCAACCAAAGCAAGGCGCTCACTATTGTTGTGAGTCCCACTCATATTCCTACAAGAAAAAGGGGTCCTGGCCCTGTGTCACAGCAGTGGTGCCGGCCATTGCACTGCACACTGGCACATGGCATTTGTACCCTTGGCCAGTGTGGATTGTGTTGCCAGATTCGTCTTGGTTTGCATTCCTGGTGCTGCATCGGGGTCATTGAAATCGTGTCTCTGACCTTGGCCAGGCAGAGCTGAGGGCTGTGACAGAGGCGTATGCATCACTGCGAGTGGAGGCTGAGACCAGCAAGGAGGAAGTCCAGGAAATGAAGCTGGAGCTGGAAGCACTTGGTGGGAGCGAAGGGGCAAAGGCAAAGCTGGGGGAGCTCAGGAAAAAGATAGAGAGGTGATGGTGGGAGCTGGCCCATCAAGTTGATTGTCTTTTAGTACCTTCAAGTGTGTGTGTGTGTGTGTGTGTGTGTGTGTGTTGGCTTAACAAGAGATTGTGCACAGGCGGCTGTCAGACGATGCAGGGCAGTGAGCGCACCTACCATGTACTGCTTAGGGGCTACTACTAGTCCAGTTGGTGCTTCGTGAGGCATCGTTGCTAGATCTGTCCATTGTCTGTTCCGGCCATGGCCTTTGGCTCTGCAAATTTCGGTGTTGTTGTTAAGGTAATAAGTCTTCACTTGGTACATTGATCAACATGTGGCAACTCGCATGCGATGGAGGAAACCACAGGTTTCGCATGTGATCTCCTGGTGGGCCCTTGCACGCATGGCATGATGTCGGATTGCTTCAGTGTACTTGATGAGGGGAGCTGGCTCGGTGCACATGGTGCACATGTCCTATGTACTATCCTTCTGGGCAGTGTGTACCATCAGTGCAGCACACCTTGGTTCTGTGTCTGCAGGACTCACCTTGCAATGGGGCAATTAGGTTGCTGAGCATGCTGGCCAGCAGGCAATTTGTGCTGCAAGGAATGGTTGTGAACCTCCGCCAAGTGCATTTGTGTTTGCAGGGTGAATCGGTGTCCTAGCACGGCAGATTGTCAAGATTCCGTCATCAGCACGTCGATCATGATTGGTCATGGCATATGCAATACTGTGACACAGACAGAATCACAAGCAGTGCAGAACAGTGTTTCTCTCTAGTTTTCGCAACTCTTCGACCTTGAAGATGATGAGGGGCACTTGTACAATTGGAATGTTTGTGAGGCTCCTTGCACCTAGTACCTTGCACTGTCCACTTGAGGCACAAGCAAATGGCATGCTCTTGGACGTTGACTGTGCAAAGTCCTTCCATCTGCCAGGATGTGCTCATTGCAGAGCTGTGTGCCTGAACAGAGAAGTAAGGGAGCACCTGAAGGGCCGGCTTGCAAGGGCAGAGGCTGCCATAGAGGCGGAACGGGCACAGGTCTTGGCGCTCGAGCGTCGTCTGCAGGAGGAGCATCAGGGGACATCGGAGCAAGGGGAGGTTCTCGAGCGACTGCACACTGTGAGCGGTTTGTGGTGTGTGATTCCAATCCTTGGGGTGGCTCGGTGGCTGAGAACTGCTTTGTTGGATATTTTCCCTCTATCGTTTCTCAATTCTTTCCTGTTGCAAAAGTGTGGCTTGCAACCCTGGAGAAGGAGCAACTGGAAGAACTGATAGTGCTACAAGAAGTGCATTGAACAGTGTTTATGGGAGTGCAGCCTGAGCTCTGCTGAGCCCCTTAGGGGTGTGCATGTGCGAGCTCATTGCACATGTCAGTGCATGGCGATGTGCTGCCTTTGCAAATTTTAAAACAGATACTGTTGTCTGATATGTGTGATACCTCCTTGAGGTCTCCCTGTTGTGGCAATTGATCTTACCCTGGAGTTGCACGCTTGGGTGCATCCCAATTTATGCAGTGGATGAGCGTTGTCATGGTGAACGTGAGGTTCAAGGGTTTCTGTCCACCAAGGAAGGGAAACCCCGATCGTTGAAAAGAAGACTGAGCTTCTGTCTTGACATGGAGCGAATTGGAAAAGCAGCACAAACTGATGGCTATCAGTTATTTTGCCATAATAGTTCATGTTTCTTGGCGAATCAAATCGTTGCGACCAAGAAACACGTGGGACACAATCTGGCACCCCTGTTAACTGCAAGGCAGGAGTGCAGCTGGAAGTGTCATGTTATTTTCAGGGAATGGAAAGTGCATATATGCATTTGTTTCTTGGTTACATATGCGTTGTACATTAATGTCGCTTTCTTTGTACCCAGGTTTAAGAATGAAATGGAAAGCTCAGTGCTGGTTATCTGGTTATCTGTCACCAAACGTGAATTGCTCGACTGTGATGGTACAACTTCGGCTGTGTCTGTATTGGACTTACAAGCACTGCCGTTTCTGAGACCTTTTGCAACTGCCAGGTTGTGCAGATGTTCATTTGTTCAAAAAAGGTGCTGATTGCTTCTCACATCAGCGACGGCAGCAGTGCTTGCAACATATTGACAGTGTTCTGATGCCTGGTCTTAGATCGAAGGTGAGCTTGCTGAAGCGTGTTCTGCAAAGGCTGCTATGTCGGTGGAGCTCAGGAAGCAGAATGAGAGGTGCTGCCTCCTTGAGGATGCTGTGCAGAGGAGAGAGGAGCAGCTCCAGATGCAAGGCGAGCGTGAACAGGTATGTGCTTGCCACACTCAAGTGCAAGAGTCGAATCAGTTTGGTGGCATCTTGCATTCATGATTGTGGCAGATGGGTGTATACTGGGGGGGGGGGGGGGCAAGCACTTTTATGAGAATTGTACTGAAATCTGCTGACTTCATTTAATCGTTGAATTCATTTTTGAACTGGACTGAATCTCAGTAATGTCCCAAGTTCAGTTGATCAGGTCTGATCGATTAGTGAGGTTAAGGTGGCAACAACGTTTGGTAACCACTAGCTCCATCTGGGCACATGGATGGAACCTGGACCTGAGATTGTTCTTAGGGCAGTGTGCTGAAAATACCACACAATGCATTTGTTGTTGTCTGCCATCACCCAACTGCCAAAATTCGGCCTGCCCGAACTTGGGGATTCATTGGTGGAATTGACCAACAGGCCACCATGTCAGTAGTTGCCTTTTCATTCGGTGTATGCAAGCAATGTACTGTCGTATATAATGTGACACAAAGTACTCCAACTCACCGGCGACGATGCCTGCTGCTTGCTGACTGGTTGCTGATGCGAGCATTGTTGCAGGAATATACTGCACTGCAGCGGGATCTCAAGGAACTCCGCGAGAGCCACAACAGGCTGCTCATGGCTGCCAGGACAGCTGACGACCGGGCTGCGATGTCGGAGGCGGTCACTGCAGACACAAAGGTACAGATCGAGGCTGCCTCTCAGACCATCACCAAGCTCGTGCAGGAGAACGCTGCCTTGAGTGACAAGATCAACAAGCAGGGGCGATTGATAGTGGAGCTGAGGGAGATGCAGAGCAGGCTTGTCTCCGGGGTGGCTGATCACAGCCGAACGCCATCCATGGACGACCCCCTGCCCCTCAACGAGGCGTCCTTGGAGGGGGCAGCTGCTGCAAAGGGTGCAGGGGTGCCGCCAGGGGGCCATGGGAGCCACCTGTCGCCTGCCAGCACCTCTGCCAGCCTGCCTGATCCACCATCCATAGATGGCGCAGGGGCCAGTGGCTCGGTGGGTGAACAGGAGGTAGAGTCTGTTGTAGCGGCTGCACAAGAGCAGAAGAGGGCCCCTGTGGTTTTGAAGTCGAGGGCGCTCACACCAGTCGCGCCCATGCGGGCATCGTCTGGGAGGCGGTGGAGTTGGGACTTTGGTGTGTGGAAGTACATATCGGGTGGGGATCTCGTGCAGCAATAGCACAGCTGCGGGTTGATAGGTTAGTCGAACTCCAGACTTGGCAGCTCGCCAGAATGTGAAGCAGTGTTGTACATGGTGGTGCTCGATGTTGGCCCCCAGCCTTCAATTGCCGGTCCCCCATGCCCACGGGAGATTGGCCAGGCTGTATGCCTATTATGGACTGCGTCAGTTTCAGCCATGTTTACAGGTCTTGGATTGGCCACCCGTGAGCAGCACGTGGCAGCCCGTCGGTTGTGTCCCACCAGTCGTTTGGCTTGCCGCATATATGTTGTTCGAGTGCCATGATGTTACAACCAGCTGACCAATTACTGACAAGAAGATGTCTACACTCAGAAACAGCAATATGGCTCAACGATCAGTCACATACGCTTGGCGAGGGTCACCAAAAGTACAGCAAATGTCACCGCCCTGCCAATCGCTCACGATTTCTGAGCGCTCTGCTCTTGCACCTTCAACAACTCAGCTCCTAGGAGCTCACAGGACAATGAAAATCACCACAATATGAAAGTTCAGACCCAACAGGACTCCAGGGGTATTGTCGAGCGCTGCCGAAGCGAGGCGCAACCCCAGAGCTGAACTTCGTGTTCAAGTTCACCTTAACCATTCATACAACGAGAAACATGCAACTGCTGATCAGTTCGACGAGAGGCACGGAAAAACACGTTCAAACTGCGAAACAACGCTCCACACCTCGCTCAGTAGCTCAGTATGACGAGCGTACTGACCATTCTCCAGATGTCGCAAACCGATGTCGTCGATGCTCGTTCCCTGCGGTCCAGCGCTGCGCTCCACTCACTCTCCAAGCAACGGACGATGAAGACACGTCGTTCAGTCGACAAAGTCAGCGCCCAACACGAGCGCACGCGGGTCAGCCAATCAAAGAGACGGGAGACAAGCTCGACGTCGAGCTGTGGGTATGTGCAGCGATGCACAACCCAAGAGGCAACTGACCCGAAGGGTCAAGAGGCAAGGCACACGGAAACGAAAGTGCTTGTTACAAGGCTGCTCCCCTTCAACCACGTTCGACCTCAATGCACTCACAGCACGACCATTCGCAGCCAAACACCAACCGTCCTGACCGCAGGAAACAAGAACGGATTGGTGTGGGGCGGAGAGAGAGAGGAGAGGGGGGGGCACTCACAACCCAAACAGCCCCTCCTAAATACCCCCGCCAGCTCCAACAGCACTACAACTTCAACAACCCTTGGATAGTCCAACAGACACTTTGAGAAAAAGGCCCCAATACCCCTTGCACAAACAGTCCACCTCCTTAGAACTTCCCACTGACT